GGGGGCAGGATTACATCAGGTGAGGTGATGAGTCTTGTGATGGATCAGGTGTGGGTCACATCAAGTAAGATTCTTGGATCAGGTGTGAGACACATCAGGTGAGGGTCTTGTGTCTTGTGATGGATCAGGTGTCGGTTAGGTCAGGTGAGGGTCTTGGGTCAGGTGTGGCTCACATCAGGTGAGAGTTCTTGTGATGGGTCTTGTGATGAGTCAGATGTGGTCACATCAGGTGAGAGTTGTGATGGGTCATGATGGTCAGATGTGGGTCACTTCAGGTGAGTCTTGGGTCAGTGTGGCTCACATCAGGTGAGAGTCTTGTGATGGGTCTTGTGATGAGTCAGATGTGGGTCACATCAGGTGAGAGTTGTGATGGGTCATGATGGGTCAGATGTGGGTCACTTCAGGTGAGGGTCTTGGGTCAGGTGTGGATCACATCAGGTGAGAGTTGTGATGGTCATGATGGGTCAGATGTGGGTCACTTCAGGTGAGGGTCTTGGTCAGGTGTGGATCACATCAGGTGAGAGTTGTGATGGATGATGGGTCAGATGTGGTCACTTCAGGTGAGTCTTAGATCAGATGTGAGTCACTTCAGGTGAGGGTCTTGGTCAGGTGTGGCTCACATCAGGTGAGAGTCTTGTGATGGGTCTTGTGATGAGTCAGATGTGGATCACATCAGGTGAGAGTTGTGATGGTCATGATGGTCAGATGTGGGTCACTTCAGGTGGGTCTTGGTCAGGTGTGGCTCACATCAGGTGAGTTGTGATGGTCTTGTGATGGGTCAGATGGGTCACTTCAGGTGAGGGTCTTGGGTCAGTGTGGCTCACATCAGGAGAGTTGTGATGGGTCATGATGGGTCAGATGTGGGTCACTTCAGGTGAGGGTCTTGGGTCAGGTGTGGCTCACATCAGGTGAGAGTTGTGATGGGTCTTGTGATGAGTCAGATGTGGGTCACATCAGGTGAGAGTTGTGATGGGTCATGATGGGTCAGATGTGGGTCACTTCAGGTGAGGGTCTTGGGTCAGGTGTGGCTCACATCAGGTGAGGGTCTTGGGTAGGTGTGGCTCACATCAGGTGAGAGTCTTGTGATGGGTCTTGTGATGGGTCAGGTGTGGGTCAAATAAGGTGAGTATCCTGTGATGGGTTTTTTGATAAGTCAGATGTGGGTCACATCAGGTGAGGGTGTTGTGGTGGCTTTTGTGACCTCAGCCTTCCCTTCCCAGTCTGGCATCTAGGAAGAAAACCAAAGGAATTCCATGTAGCATCTCGTATCTTATTTTACTGTTTTATTTTTATTAGATTAAGAAACCCACACTTACACGTTAAGCCATAAATTTTACGTTGCAAAGTTTCACACGTCCCTCTGAAAGACCAACGCAGGCTCCAAGCTAATCTTTATTTTTTTATATATTTTTAAAATAAATTTTTAAAAAGGAAATATTGAACCCAGCAAAAGAGGAAAGTCAGATTTGGAAGGCTTTTGATAAATTTGTGCAATGCATCATTTGGGGCTGGTTAAAAGTGTTTTTTTAAAAAAAAAAAAAAAACCAAAAATACTGGAATAGTACGAAAATCTGTGGTTGTTAGACGGTATTTATAGTGGAGCAGATGGTTTCAAATAGCGAATGCATCAAGCTTTCCCAATTAGTCTTAAGAAGCGAGGTGGTTTTGGATTATATCTTGAATAAGTGATGCTTCTGTTTTTTTTGTTTTTTTTCATGTTCTCTCATAAATACACACACACACAAACAAAGAGCTTATGTGAGGGTTTAGGGCAATTATCTCATCTGAAAAAAAATAATAATCAAGTGAAATACCAGCTTTATTCACAGAGGATTTGGTTTCTCGTAGAAGGTTTTAGCGGGATAACAATTTCTTCCTTTTGAAGGAGAAGAATATAAGATTCTTGTATTTCATCCTTCTGTTTGTCAAGCTATCAATGCTAAAAGCTCTTCTTTCCTCATTCGATGAAAAAAGTTGGTTTTCTTTTTTTTTAAAAAAAAATAAAACCTACTGAAAAGTTCTGAGCATCTTGAAGGGGAGAGGAGAGGTGGAGTAAAAAAAGGAATTTGCAGTTAATTCCCCTATTTTATTACCGTTTAATCCTCTTCTTTTTATTTTTTTTTTGAAATAGTTGTGCTCCATCAGCCACAATAGACAAATACCGAATGACGAGAAGAACTAATTTGCCAAAATGAAAAATTTAAAAGAGAGGAAAGGTCTTATGTTAATCAACGGAGAGAGGTGGATTGCCTGATGAGAATGCTTGACGGGAATCAAATGCACAGTCCATTAAATCCCATTTTAAAAAAAATTAAAAAAAAATACACCTTTGCTTTCTACAGATCAGTTCCAATTTGACTCAGATTTGTCTTTGGAATCGATCTGGAAAACCAACTCAATTAGACGCGTCAACCCGAACTGTCAAAATAGGTCAGTTTGATTCTTCCTGATTCGTTTTAGGGGGGGGGAATACCAGGGGTGGGAGGTTGGGGGTTCTCAGGGGTTCGGGAGAACCTCTAGCTAAGATTCTGTGCAGTTCGGAGAACCCCCAAATCCCACTCCTGGCTGGCCCCGCCCACCCTGCCCCGCCCCTTCCAGGAGCCCCCACGTGGCCTGTTTTGCAGGCAGGTAAGTGCAGGGTGCACATGGAGGCTCCTGGACGGCGAAAAATGGGCCTCCCAGAAGTTTGGGAAGGCTGGAAACAGGCCCGTTTCCAGCCTCCGGAGGGCCTCTGGAGCCTGGGGAGGCTGCTTTCGTACTTCCGGCGGCTCCAGGAAAGCCTCCGGAGCCTGGGGAGGGCAAAAATGACCCGCCCCCTACCGCTGTGGTGCAGGAGGCCAACTAGACCATGCCCACCATGGCCACGCCCACCCAGCAACGGGCAGAGAATCCCTTGCTAAAAATTTTGAAGCCCACCTCTAGGTTTTGGATTTGGTAATTCAGAGTAAATCATCGAGGACAATTTGAACCCAATTTGAGTTCAGGGCAGAATCAAATCAGCCTCAGAAATGAATCTGGGAAAGGAACGTTTGATCATTGTTGTCTTTTTCCCCATTCAATGCATAAACCAGGATAAATTGGTGACTGTCGTCACAAGCGAACCATCTCAGAAACAAGCGGTCAATGGTTATTTTCACAATATATACAGTACCTGAAGGTCTTAAGCCATTCTCAAGTCATTCCATAAACGTTGGTGGCCATCAGAAGTCTTTGTTAATAGAAGAGAATATTTGTAGATCAGCTGTGGCTCAACTCTAGCACTGATGATGTTATCTAGTTTGGTAATAAAATGTCTGCAAGAAAACAACCCAGTTCAGAGAGCATCAAGGACCCCACTGTTCTCCTCCTCCTCTTCCAACCCCACTTCCTTTTAACGCTGATGATATTACGTAGTTTGGTAATGAAATGTCTGCAAGAAAACAAGCCAGCTCAGAGAGCATCAAGGACCCCACTGTCCTCCTCTCCTCCTCCTCCTCCTCTTTCTCCTCCTTCTCCTCTTCCAACCCCACTTCCTTCTAACACTGATGATATTACCTAGTTTGGTAATGAAATGTCTGCCAGAAAACAGCTCAGCTCAGAGAGCATCAAGGACTCCACTGTCTTCCTCCTCCTCCTCCTCCTCCTCCTCCTCCTCCTCCTCCTCCTCCTCCTCCTCCTCCTCCTCCTCCTCCTTCTAGCACTGATGAAGTTACCTAGTTTGGTAAAGAACTGTCTGCAAGAAAACAAGCAAACACAGAGAGCACCAAGGCCCCTCCTTCTTCACAAACTCCACTTCGTTCTAACACTGATGATATTACGTAGTTTGGTAATGAAATGTCTGCCAGAAAACAGCTCAGCTCAGAGAGCATCAAGGACTCCACTGTCTTCCTCCTCCTCCTCCTCCTCCTCCCCTCCTCCTCCTCCTCCTCCTCCTCCTCCTCCTCCTCCTCCTCCTTTCTAGCACTGATGAAGTTACCTAGTTTGGTAAAGAACTGTCTGCAAGAAAACAAGCAAACACAGAGAGCACCAAGGCCCTCCTTCTTCACAAACTCCACTTCGTTCTAACAGTGATGATGTTACTTAGTTTGGTAATGTAACGTCCGCAAGAATACAACCCAGCTCAGAGAGCACCCAGGATCCCTCAGAATTCTTTGTTTTTAAGTGGATCAGAATAACGCTCTCCCTCCCTAAAGTAAACCCATGCCATTTCTAATCTTAAAACACGAAATTGCCATACCGTCAACCTATTTGTCCAAAGTCTTAGTACAACGATGACATATCAAGGAGGAAACCTTTATGGCTTTGCTACCTGAGATAATATAATAATAGACTAAAAGAGTGGAAGGGACTTTGGAGGTCTTCTAGTCCAACCCCTGCTTAGGCAGGAAACCCTACACCACTTCAGACAAATGGTTATCTAACCTCTTCTTAAAAAGTTCCAGTGTTGGAGCATTCCCAATTTCTGGAGGCAGGTTGTTCCACTGGTTAATTGTTCTCACTGTCAGGAAATTTCTCCTTAGTTCTAGGTTGCTTCTCTCCTTGATGAGTTTCCACCCATTGCTTCTCATCCTGCCTTCTGGTGCTTTGGAGAATAAGTTGACTCTCTCTTCTTTGTGGCAGCCCTGAGATATTGGAAGACTGCTATCATGTCTTCCCTAGTCCTTCTTTTCATTAAACTAGACACACCCAATTCCTGCAACTGTTCTTTATATGTTTTAGCCTCCAGTCCTCTAATCCTCTTTGTTGCTCTTCTCTGCACTCTTTCTAGAGTCTCAACCTCTTTTTTACACCGTGGCGACCAAAACTGAATGCAGTATTCCAAGTGTGGCCTTAACAAGGCATTACAAAGTGGTATTAACACTTCACGTGATAGATATAGAGAAGAAAACTCGGAGGTTGCAACCAATTCCACATTCCACAGTGGTGTAGGGTTTCCTGCCTGGGCAGGGGGTTGGACTACAAGACCTCCAGAGTCCCTTCCAACTCTACTATTCTATGTTCTGTGTCCTTATTTTCTGCAGCACGCGGGGATCCATCTTGATCGATATTTCCAGATGTTGCCTAGCACGATCTTATCTTCCGTGACCAAAGCCAACTCATCCGTCTCGCAGCAACCGCACGAGATAACCACAGCCGGAATATTTTAACATAATGCAACCACAGGCTCGTGCCAGTTTTCATCTGCTCGGAGAGGTTCTTGGCCACGGTACAGATTTCGACGACTTAAAAGAGGGGGGGGTCGTCGTGGTTTGCAGTGGATAAAAGGCAGCTATGACAAGGAGGGCTTCGGGTGATGAATGGCGTTCCTGGCTTGGCTGACCATGTGTGAGGTTGGCATGGAACGGCACACAATATGCTTTGTAGGTGAAGGTTGTTAGCTTGTAGTTGGATGCACACCGTGCTCCTTGGCCGGCCAGGAGCCTGTGTGTTTTGTTTAAGGCTGGAGAAGAAATTTAAAATTATTGCTTTGGTTTGCTCGTTTCCAAAATGCCTTTTTGTCTTAAAAAATAGGAAGGGCTCTGTCCCCATGCTAGCTCCTTTTTTTTTTTTGATCCCTTCTTATCATGAAGAAGTAATACAATTAAAATTTAATCCATTGGAAGTTTCAGTCTAACAGAATAACAGGGAAGGGACCTTGGAGTCCTTAAGAACTCCAAGAGCCTTGGTAGTACAGTGGTCTAAGGCACCCTGTTATTAAGCTGGTTATTAAGACCAGCTGCCTGCAATTACTGCAGGTTCGAATCTCGCCAAGGCTCAAGGTTGACTCAGCCTTCCATCCTTTCTAAGGTAGGTAAATTGAGGACCCAGTTTGTGGGGGCAATAAGCTGACTTTGTATAAATATACAAAAGTATGAAGGCTATTGCTGAGCACATTGTAAGCCGCCCTGAGTCTCCGGAGAAGGGCGGCATATAAATCAAATTAAAAAAAAAAAAGCACTCTCTAAAAGAATGCAAATGACCAGCTGTCTGCAAGGAGTATAAATTCTTCCATTCCCCACCATCCCATCAGAGCTGAAGAAGCTTCTTGGACGAGAAGCGAAATATCTTCAAAGAGAAACAAAAGACACAGATAAACCTCCAAGTGGCCTCAACAATTCTCTAAAAGGATGCAAATGACCAGCTGTCTGCAAGGAGAATAAATCCTTCCATTCCCCATCATCCAGCCAGAGCTAAAGAAGCTTCTTGGATGGGAAGCGAAACGTCTTCAAAGAAAAAATAAACAACAGAAAGTCCAGTTGCCTCCAAAAAAAAGCACCTTTGGAATTGCTCAGCAATGCCGCCTCAACTCACAGGTCAACATTGCTCCCACTGATATGTGTGCGTGTGTTTTTGCGTGTGCGATTTTACAATCGCCTTTCCAAAATGGATTTCGTGTGAACGTCGAGGGCTAACGTGTAAATCTCTTATTTCAAACGGGGGCTTTCAAGAAAGAACGAAAGTTGAAGAAAAAAAAAAAACATCGACCGAGTTACAAGCCATGTTCTTCGCTTCCAACGCAGAACTGACTGGGAAAAAAAGAAAAAGAAATTCTATTTGGATTTTGTATCTGTGAGATGGAGGCAGGTGGATCTCAGAGCTGAACCCTGCCAGGTTTCAAAGAGGCTTTAAGAAGTCAGACTTGTATAGTTCAGACAATAATTGGCTGTTGAAGCAAGAGACGGGGAAGTCTCAACACGTATATTTGCCTTCATTCGTGAAAGTCCCAACAGTTTATTCCTTCTACTTACCTGGCCTGATCTGGCCTCCAATCAGCCTGAAGTTCTCAACTGCCTTCAAACCCAGAGTAAGCTAGGATATATATTTATTTATTTATTTCAAAGACGTATTTTGAGAACAAACTTTGCTGAGGAATCAGCAGCTTCATTTACCAACAGAATAGAATTCTTTATTGGCCAAGTGTGATTGGACACACAAGGAATTTGTCTTGGTGCATACGCTCTCGGTGTACATAAAAGAAAAGATACGTTCGTCAAGAATCATAAGGTACAACACCTAATGATAGTCATAGGGTACAAAAAAGCTACCAAATCATATTAGGAAACAGTCAATATAAATTGTAAGGATATCAGCAAGAAGGTTACTGTCATACAGTCATAAGTGGGAGGAGACGGGTGATAGGAACGATGGGAAGATTAATAGTAGTGCAGGCTTAGTAAATAGTTTGACAGTGTTGTGGGAATTATTTGGGTAGCAGAGTGATGGCATTAGGGGGAAAAACTGTTCTTGTGTCTTGTTGTTCTGGTGTGCAGTGCTCTATAGCGTCATTTTGAGGGTAGGAGTTGAAACAGTTTATGTCCAGTTCTAAGTTGCTTCTCTCCTTGATTAGTTTCCACCCATTGCTTCTTGTTCTACCCTCAGGTGCTTTGAAGAATAGCTTGACTCCTTTTTCTTTGTGGCAGCCCCTGAGATATTGGAAGACTGCTATCATGTCTCCCCTGGTCCTTCTTTTCATTAAACTAGACATACCCAGTTCCTGCAGCCGTTCTTCATATGTTTTAGCCTCCAGTCCCCTAATCCTCTTTGTTGCTCTTCTCTGCACTCTTTCTAGAGTCTCCACATCTTTTTTATATTGTGGCGACCAAAACTGGATGCCGTATTCCAAGTGTGGCCTTCCCAAGGCCTTATAAAGTGGTATCAACACTTCACGTGATCTTGATTCTATCCGTCTGCTGATGCAGCCCAGAACTGTGTTGGCTTTTTTGGCAGCTGCCGCACACGGCTGGCTCATTTCTAAGTGGTTGTCCACTTACTAATAATTCAATTAAATAATTCCACTGAATGGCTCAATTGCCCCACAGCCAATCAAATTGTCCTGCGGCAATTTGGCCACAGCGAGTTGGCTGTGACGAGTTGTCCCATTCCATTGCTGGGGAGCTATTTTCTTCCTCTGGTTTTGCATCCTCTTGAGGAACAACTCAACCAAATCTGCACAGGTTACACTTTACATAATCAGGGGCCTCCTTGTTTGCTAAGACATTTGGAACACCTGCACAATTTATCCATACAATATGTTTGCTACAGATGCTACTGTCTCACGCTATTAAGTTGTTAGGAATTCTCGTTGCCTACCCAATAGGTAGCCTTGCTGAATTTCCTTTCCCCTCCCATTCTAACTCACCTCCAGACAGTCTTCCAAAATCTTGCGTCCTTTTCTTTAAGTTCTCCCCTCTGTCGTGATGACCGATGAGAAAGCAAGCTTCTTTTCATTTCCAAAGATGGATCCTTCTGTAGCCAAATCAACATTCTTCTTCCTTGCATTTATTGGATGGGTGGGGGGGAATGAAGTCCCAACTAAATTGAAAGTATCTGGAAATTGCTTATCGCACCAGAATAACAGAGTTGGAAGGGACCTTGGAGGTCTTCTAGTCCAACCCCCTGCCCGGGCAGGAACCCCTATCCCATTTCAACAAATGGCTATCCTATCTCTTCTTTAAAAACCTCCAATGATGAAGCATCCACAGCTTTTGAAGGCAAGCCATTCCACCGATGAATTGTTCTCAGTGTCAGGAAATTTCTCCTTAGTTCTAGGTTGCTTCTCTCCTTGATTAGTTTCCACCCATTCCTTCTTGTTCTGCCTTCAGGTGCTTTGGAGAATAGGTGGACCCCCTCTTCTTTGTGGCAGCCCCTCAAATAAATGAGACTGCTCTCATGTCACCCCTAGTCCTTCTTTTTGACTAGACTAGGCATCCCCAATTCCTGAAACCATTCTTCATATGTTTTATCCTCCAGTCCCCTAATCATCCTTGTTGCTCTGTGATGAAACTCCCACAACTTCCGAAAGCCACTTCTGTTCCATGGGTTGATTGTTCTCACTGTCAGAAAAGTTCTTCTTATTTCTAGGTTGCATCTCTCCTTGATCAGTTTCCATCCATTATTCCTTGTCTAGCCTTCGGGGGCCTTGGAAAGTAGCTTGACCCCCTCCTCTCTGTGGCAGCCCCTCAAATATTGGAACATTGCTATCATGTCTTCCCTGGTTCTTCTCTTCACTAGACTAGCCATGCCCAATTTCTGCAACCGTTCTTCATATGTTTTATCCACCAGTTTCCTAATCATCCTTGTTGCTCTTCTCTGCACTCTTTCCAGAGTCTCAACCAGGGGTGAAATTCAGCAGGTTCTGACAGGTTCTGGAGAACTGGTAGTAGAAATTTTGAGTAGTTCGGAGAACCAGCAAATACCACCTCTGGCTGACCATCAGAAATTAAACATCTACCCTCTTGTGAGGTTGGCAGGGGTGGGCAGCTGGGGGTTCGCAGGGGTTCGGGACGACCTCTAGCTAAGATTCTGTGCAGTTCGGAGAACTCCCAAATCCCACTCCTGGCTGGGCCTGCCCACCCTACCCCTCTCCTCCCAGGAGTCCCCACATGGCCTGTTTTGGATGCAGGTAAGTGCAAGGCACGCGTGGAGGCTTGGGGAGGGCAAAAAACAGTCCTACTGGAAGTTTGGGAAGGCCGGAAAAGGGCCCGTTTATGGCCTCCAGAGGGCTTCTAGAGCTTGGGGAGGCTGTTTGTTTTCACCCTCCCGGAGGCTCAAGAAAAGCCTCCGGAGCCTGGGGAGGGCAAAAACACCTCCCCAGGCTCCAGAGTGGAGTGGGAATGGAGATTTTGCAATATCCTTCCCCCAGGCGTGAGGAGGGAATGGGGATTTTGCAGTATCCTTCCCCTGGAGTGGGGTAGAAATGGAGATTTGGCAGTATCCTTCCCCTGCCATGCCCACCAAGCCACGCCCACAGAACCGGTAGTAAAAAAAAAAAAATTGAATTCCACCACTGATGTCAACATCTTTTTTTCTTTTTTTGTTTGAATGTCGTGGTGACCAAAGCCGGATGCAATATTCCAAGTGTAGTCTCATCCTGGCTTTATAAAGTGATACATTTTATATCGTCTTGATTCTAATCCCTCTAAATGCAGCCTCGGACTGAGGAATACCAGCTCAGCAAAATCCAATAATGCTGCGCCCGAGCTGGAGATGTGGCTCATGTCGAATTGGGCCAACAAACTTTCTGGATTATTTATCGTGGGCATGATTAAACCTTGAATGTGTCCTTGGTCCTAATTGGTTCCCAGCAGCAACGGCCGAATGGAAAATTGTTCACTTCAATGTCCACTTGTGTGGTCATTGTGTTAATTTATTTCCTACCCCTCCTATTCTTAGAGCGAGGGGGGGTCTTATTTATGGCACACCCGCTGTTCCCCCCCCCCTCCTTTAATATTTAATGGAAAGGAGGGATATGAGTTTCTCTAATGGCTTTTTTGTAGGGG